CMSRKATCAACATTGACTGAAAGTGGTCGTGGTCGCAGCAAACAATGAGGACCAATTCCTACGAGGCTGCTTCGTCAGACGAGGGAGATACGTTAGCAGCAGCCCGGGATCGTGGCCGCCCGCCCAAAGATTGCGGACGCAGCAAGACAAAGACAAACACCACTACATCTCCTGGAACCGGGTCAGCAACTCAAGAACCTTGGCTCCATTACGGCATTCTCAAGGGGCGCTTACAAGATGCGATCCAAATGGTGCAACAGTGACGCACACGACACTGCGAACTGTCCCACGAAAGCCAAGGGGAAGTCCCTTCCAGGAAAGTGAGCACCGCAGAGAGTGACACGGCCGCACTCTCGACTCCTTCGGAACCGGTTGCTTCTCGGAACCGGTTGCTTCTCGAGCAACCCCCCTTTGTTCCAAGGCATGTGCAGAAGTCGTGAGTCCTCTTCTTCATTCTTTTGAGGACTTCGCTGCCCAACTCATTCCATCGTTGGGTTCTCTAGCTGAAGGACAAGTGTGTGCGCGGTGTTGGCGTGAATACCCTTACAAGGGTATTTGTGTGTATTTTTGCATCTTGCATGAGATGCACCTGAGATGGTGTCTGAGATAGTTGTTCACATAGGTGCTGCGCTGCCCACGGTCGACTCTCTGTAGTCGGAGTGACGGGCGCGCACGAGATGGGGTTAAAGGGTGTGTGGGCGCGTGAGCTTAAGGCACGAGTGGTTTTTGTGTTCCATAGGTCGGCAACCGTGATCAGAAGGCTTTTATTTGATTAAAAACTTAGATTAAATCGTGAAAATTCTAGTTGGCCGATGTGCTCATGTGACTATAGGCAGGGCCGACCGTCCGTGTGAAAAAGGCGCCATTTTTTTGGGCGATCGGAAGCCCAACCGAAAGGCCAAGATGTGGCCTTGGGGCATTTTGGCGAGACTGCAAAGTGTGCGGAACCGCTATAAGGATTTCCGCTTGAACTAATACCAGCCTTGGGCATAGCACTATTGGCTACAGCATCGGACTTTCACACCGTAGATTTGGGGATCGAGGCCAATGACCGGCGACAGAGGAGTAAAGACGCATCACGAAGGAAACTAAGGGGTTGAGGGCCCAGCATCGGCCCTGATTCGGGACCGATTGGTGGGAAAAAGGGGGTGCCACAGGTTTTCCCCGTCCTCTCAATATAGTTCTAAGATCCCTGTTCTTTCTTTTATTACTTTTTTTTTTCTTCCTACTATTATTTCATTTTCTTTGGAGTTTCGTTTTCGTAATCGGTACCGGGGCTTGTACCCGGACCGGCTGTTGGAACCCACGGGCCTGGCTCAGTTGATACGCCCTTGAATTGTTGGAATACGGATTCGGGTTCGAGTCCAGATACGGCCAGATGACCAAAACAAGATCATTCTGAATTTCCTAGGCCTGGTCGGCTCAATAATGATACCTTCAGGCCGTGATTATGCCGAGTCCTTTGGGACATCCATTAAAATTGGAACGATACAGAGTAGATTAGCGTGGCTCCTCCGTGTGTGGCATGCTAGCAAAATTCCTCTATTCTGCCGTCTTGAAACGGGGGCCGAAGAGTTCAACGTGCATGCGAACCGGTGGGTGCTCGGCCCACAAGGCAAGAGAAACCCGAGTGGCGGAGACCCCCTGTGGGTGTACCATCTGCCACCCATGATTCTGTTGTGAGAAGCTTTGAGTGTGAGCATGCTCGTTGGAGTCCCAAAAGCGAAGGGTTGCGCTTGGGAGGGGTGCAGCCCGAAGAAACTCCGGCCGGGGCTCGCAACGATGTTGTCGTGCAAATCATTCATTGAATTTGGGTATAGGGGCGAAAGACTAATCGAGCCGTCTAGTAGCGGTTCTCTCTGAAGTTCCCTCTGGACACCTAAGGCTACTAGACAAGTGACCAGGCGGTTGTGGAACCGTGCAGTCCTCCGAAAGAGTTGACGTCTGCGGTGGGCGAAGAAAACGAGGATGAAGACGACTAGGGAGGAGAGCACGGGCGGAGGAAGCCATCACTCTTCCATTTCCCAACGGAACAGGGCAGAGGAAGGATCACTTTTGGGGTTTAAACCCCGGGCGAGTTGAACTATGGGGTCAGTTTTTCGATGAGAGGAAGGGGAATGAAGTAGATGTTAGAAAGGACATCTCGGTGGAGTTGAACGAGAGGAAGAGTGGGGGAGGAAAATAGTGCAACTTGCCTGTTTCCCAGTAGAAACGAGCGGATTAGAGGGCTTTGGTACGATGCGGATCATACAATGACGTTAGTTTAGGCTATAGGTTGGTGGTTTAGTCGGGGTACATATCAGAGGCAGCGCGCAGGGTGGTGTTTTCGGTGGTGAGAGAAGACTGGTTCACCTGATTTCGCCCAACTTGGGCAAATGGGGAGATGGTATTGAGGATTTTTGGGGTGGTGACCCCGCTCACGAGCCTAGATTGGCGGTTAGTAGAGGTATTGGCGTAGGATAGAGAAAAGTGGGGAGGCGATCATAGTAATAAAAATAAATAAAGGAAAATGGCGATGAAACTTCCCATGTTCTAGCGGAAGATACATTCCCTTTCGCACGCCTAGTGAGAGCGGGAACGAGCCCCCCTGCTGGCGATCGTACCTCCTATTGCGCTCGCTCTCTTGGTTGTCATCTTCGACATAGCAGCTGCCCTCTTGCGCTAATTCTCCTGGTCTCGGTTGTCGTTTTTCACGTCGGTACGATCTAAGTGGTCAAGCTTTCCATCCCAGCTGTAGTGGTTTCGATCGTTGAGGTTGTGTTCATAACAACATTAGCATGCACTATGATTCTGGAGTACGAATGAACCTCGGTGAGAACTTAGGCCAGGTACATGGAGGATGCCTGCATTTAGTTGCCCCACCGCCGTTGCTTTGATTAACCTGAATCCGGTCGAGGCTTCGACCGAATACATTTCATCTAAGTACAAGAGGCAGGAATTAAGGCAGTTGTGTTAGGAGGAGTTTGGAGGCGCCGAAGTAGGGAGGAGGTGGCGAAAAGGTGATGACGAGGAAAAGACAAACAGATTGAAGGAGGGACGATGTAGGACAGAGGAGAGTTGAAAGCGGGTAGGAGAGAAGGGGGAGAAATTGGCTGCAGGGGCTGTTTACACGTACCATTTTCAGGCATAACAAGGATCGAAAGGTCGAGGGCTTTCTTGACTTTGTGGTTGGTGATGCATGGCCCTTCTTAGTTGGTAGAGTGGTCCACCTAGGCATGAGTTGACAAACTAAGGAGGTCTTGCTGAGCTTGTTGCAATGATACTGTGAAATCTCACGCAGTTGCTGCTAACGATTGAAGTATTGCGGTAAACGAGACGCTCATGAAATGCGATTTGTTGAGCTCTGTTGGAGCTTAGTGATCGTTATTGCTGCGTTGTTGTGTTCGCTGCTTGCTGTTGTGTCTGCTGGCGTGGCTCGCTGCTGTGCGACGCAAGTGCTAACTGCTGTGCTATCTGTGGTTGCTATGTATGGCTGATCCTTGTTGGGTTGTTCTGCGGATCGTTGCCTTGGTTGCACTTCGCTGTGTTGCTGCGTGCTGATGCGCACGGTCGACATACGAGCAGCCTATTGTCGAGCTTGGTTACGAATTACTGCATTTGGAATAGAGCACAAGTGTGCGCTGTAATTGAACAAAGGCACTGCTAGGCTGCGCAACAACGTTTCGAGTAGTTAGAATCTTCAGAGGGGTCATTACGACAACTTGAGGGATCATCAAAGTGCTGGTTATGCTGCGTATTGGCTGCAAATTGGTCATTCTACTGCGCGTTTTGGCCACCAT